CATCCCTAGTGAGAGAAGCACATGACTCTCCCCTTGGGAGAGGGATTAGGGTCCAGGGCCTCACCTGCAATGTTGAGAGTGCCCAAGAACGTGTATATGTATGGCATATATTTATTTTTGCTTAAGTTATCCTGTGTTCATTTTATGTTCTTTTCTTTTGTGTGTGTCTTAGATTGAAATTTTCTAACAGATACACTTATTCAAATAAATACTCATATTTTTCCTCCTAAATGCAAAGAGTCGTAGCACGCTTATCCAGCAGATTGAAGTTGTGCAGACATAGAAGGTTTGTTCTGAATTTATGCAGAGTCTTTAGAAGGACTTAAGTGAAGTCCCCATGTTGTCACAGATGACATCTGTTTTTACACTATAGAAATATCTGCACTTGAGCAAGGATATACTCCAGGATAGAAGTGGCAAAGATATTTCCAAATAGAAGGGAAAACTGGTCCAAACAATGGAACTGTTGATTCAAACCACGTTGGTCCAGAAGGTTTTGGGAATTTTTTTCTTCTCTAGTGAGAGCATCCCCTACACTGCCACCAGAATATCCTACCTAAGACCGAGATCTAATCCTTTATCTCTGCACTTTAGAAATTCATCACAAGCAGGGCTTGGTGGCTCAGCCTGTAATCCCGCGCCTTTGGGAGGCTGAGGTGAATGGATTGCCTGAGCCCGCGGGTTCGAGACCCACCTGGGCAGGCGAGATCTCATCTCTACAGTAAATCAAAAAATTAGCGCTCCTGTAGTTCCAGCTACTTGGAAGGCTGAGGCGGAAGGATCGCTGGAGCCCAGCAGGTCGAGGCTGTGGTGGCCGGGAGCGGCCACTGCACTCCAGTCTGGGCGACAGTGAGACTCCAACTAAAAAAATAAAAAAATTCATCACGAAGAGGGGAAAAGAGGAACTAGGGCAAAGAAACCTGACAAGGACAAGGTCAACAACAGTGGGATAAATTATGTTGCTAGTATGAACTTGTGATGTGATGTCAGGAGAAGGGCACTTTTCTTCTGTAGTCTTCCTCCCAATAACCCTAACCCCAGTCTAATTATTATGAAAAAAAAATCAGAGAATTCCCAGTAGAGGTGCATCCTGCAATATACCTGATCAGCACATTTCAAAACTGTCAAGGTCATCAAAAACAAGGATAGTCAGAGAGACTCAACCAAAAGGAGCCTAGGGAGACCTAACAACTAAATGTAATGTGGTATCCTGGCTGGGATCCTGGAACAGAAAAATTACTTCAGATAAAAACTAAGGAAATCCAAATAAAGTATGGACTTTAGCTAGTAACATAGCAACACTGGTTTAATCAGTGACATATGCACCATACTAATTTAAGACCTTAGTAATAGGGCAAACTACATGTATGTGGGAAGGGGGGTACTTATGTGAACTCTCTGGACTATTTGCTCAATATTTTTTGTAAATCTAGAACTGTTCTTTAAAAGTCTGTTAAAAACAAAGTTTATTTAAAAATCCATCACCGTATTCCTTTTGTTTCAGGAGGAGTTCCTAAAATTCAGAGACCAAAGTGGGTCTTTAAAATGATTTTAGATGTATGTAGCCTTAAAGAACCCAGGTTAAATATTCCTTCATTGCTCATTTTTTAATCCTTCTGATTTAGTACCAAAGAGCATCTTTGGGTTTAGCCCTAAGAAGCCTTCTCTAACTTTTGCCAGTCTCCTTTTTTAACAAAGAAAGAGAAGGCCTCAGGCTCAGGACTTTGTGTTATTTTTATTGTTCTCATTTGTACTTTCATTATTTTTATTCTCATATTTGGTGATGTCTACTTACATATGGCAAATGATTCTAGTTTCTCATTTTTGATCTTGGCATTTTTATTAAAGTAAACTTATTTAAGTAAAAAAAGATACACTTATTTAATTTAAAATAAATTACTTAGCTAAAACTACATTACTGTTTTCAGATATAGCAAATACCAGAAAAGTGGTATTCCAATGACCAAAGTTGAGAATCAATGGCCAGTAGCATTATGTCCACATCTGTTAGCATGGCACCCAAGGCCCTCTCTCACCCGGGAACACCTCTGCAGTCCTTGTCACCACATGCTCCACCTGCGACACCAAGGAGGACCAAGTATGCCTGGGAAGTCAGAGGTGCTGATGCCCAGAGACTGAGGGCTTGGAGGAAATCTAAGAGGTCCATGGATTACAGGCTTAAATCCAACGTGGCTAACTAAGCTTTGTCTAAACTCCCTTTCCCATGTGGCTTGATTTCCTCTGTGAGCCACAGCCTTATTGTTTGGCAGTCCGTTCTCTTGTCATGGTGATCAACTGTGGCACCCGGCGATGAAGCAAATAGCCCCTTCAGGCCCTGCGGGCTGTGTGGTCATGTTGGAAACCAAATGCAACCAGGAAGCACTGCTGAGTGGGGTGAGAGGGATCTGAATTCCAGCCCCTCATATCTCATCACTCTGACCTAGCGTCTCACACATCCGCTCAGCAGAGGTGCTTGCTGAGCACTGGGTTCAAAAACTGACCTCACCACCTACTTCCTGGGGGACCCTGCATGAGGCACACAAGCTTGCTAGGCTTCCTTTCCTGATCTGTTAAGTGAGGCTAATGATAGTGTCTACTTCATTGGATAACTCTGAGGATAAACAGCACAGCACAAGGCTGGCACCAAATAAGCACTCCAGAATTGCATGCTATTTCCAATCATCTCTGTGGGCCTCTGTTTCTTTCACTGTAAGATGTGGATCATGACAGCACGTACCTCATGGGACTGTTGTCAGAAATAAATGGGCCAAAGCATGTGAGTCCTTAGCATCATGGCCTGGCTCCTAACAATCACTCAGTAATGTTCAGTTGTTTATTATCTGTGTTTATTTAGTATTAGTAGGATTATTACTATGAATAGTAGCAGTTCTGAGAATTGGAATGCTTTCCAATCTATTGTTGGAGCAGTCCAGATACTAGAAGCAGTCAAGGTAGATTTTTTTAAGGTTAAAACCACAAGCATCCCAAAATTAACTCTATGAGCTTCAGTAGAACTGAAGGTACAGATTAGCCTGCAGTTTAAATCCAGAAAAAGATTGGATTCTGGGTAAAGAAGCAGAGGTTCCACCTCGCCAGCTGGATTTACATAACCAGACCTGAACACAAACCACTGCTACAGGAATGTCCAAGAGGTAAGGCATTCTTGTCCAACAAAAGTTATCTTCCTACAAAAAGGCAATAAAATGAACAGGGCCAACAACTTTTCAGGTCCCCCAAAACGTACCCAACTGTGAGGAAATTTCATACCTGGAGCCCAAAAAGTACAGAAACCAAATGATATTTGTCCCATGTTGTAAAGGGTCAGCTGGAGGGAGATTTTGTCCCTTCTTCTCCTTCTCCAAGAGCCTTCAAGGGCACATATTCCTGTTTGCAGAACTCTGGGGACAGACTTGGATTACCATGAACTTACCATGTATGCTTGGAACAGTCACGTCTGACTTGACCTCAGTTTCCCCATCTGGTAAAATGAGGATGGTGGCTTACATGCTATCTAACATAGTTTCTAGCTCTGACAATAAATTATACATTTATTTCAGTCATGGTAAGAATTGGAAATTCTTGTGTACTATAATTCAAATCTTTAAAGGAATCAGGAACTGGTTCTGTAGGCTTGAAAAGGACATCTAGCAAATTCTTCACTGCGACTCACAGGTAGGCTGTGAAGAAGGCTGATGGGTCCTTGCATGGACCATTGTGTGTGTGTATCCAAGAGATGGCAGGGCTAGCTAGAATAGAATCACTTTTTCGGACCAGGCTCAGTGGCTCAGCCAGTAATCCCAGCACTTTGGGAGACTGAGACGAGTGGACTGCCTGAGCCCATGGGTTCGAGACCAGCCTGGGCAACTTGGTGAGACCTTGTCTCTACAATAAATTAAAAATTGCTGGGCTCGGTGGCTCAGCCTGTAATCCCGCCCCTTTGGGAGGCTGAGGTGAGTGAACTGCCTGAGCCCGCGGGTTCGAGACCCGCCTGGGCAACTTGGCGAGACCTCATCTCTACAATAAATCAAAAATTAGCTGGGCGTGATAGCGTGCGCCTGTGGTTCCAGCTACTTGGAAGGCTGAGGCGGAAGGATCGCCGAAGCCCAGCAGGTTGAGGCTGCAGTAGCCGGGAGCAGCCACTGCACTCCAGTCTGGGTGACAGAGTGAGACACCAACTCAAAAAAAAAAAAAAATTAGTCGGGCATGGTAGCGCACGTCTGTAGTTCTGGCTACTTAGAGGACTGAGGCAGAAGGATTGCTGGAGGCCAGTAGGTTGACGCTGGAGTGGCTGTGAGTGTGCCACAGCACTCCAGCCTGGGTGACAAGAGTGAGACTCCAACTCAAAAAAAAAAAAAAAAAAATCACTTTTTTTGCCTTGGAAATTGCCCTTCCCACAACCAGTCAGTAAAGCTGTCAATCACATGAAGTCAATTCCCAGCTCCTTCGAAAAAGGTAACTGGATGCATGATTAAACAACAACAACAACAAAATAACCACTAAGTGTCACTTTAGAGGAGACAGAGGTAGATGCAGGGAGAGATAAGGTCTTTCTTCTAGAAAACCAAAATAATCAGAGCTGTTGGGAGTCATCTTTGCCACCAAGTGGAGAGAGCTTAGCACTAGATGGAAAGTGCAAAGGAGGGAGGGAAAGGGAAAGAGATAAAAAGAGGGAGAAAAGGGGGGAAAAGGTGGGAAGGAGGAAGAGAGGGAGGCAGAAGGTGAGATGGAGAAAGAGGGAGGGACTTAGAGAAAAAGAGTGAAAAGCAAGGAGGGAGGGGAAGAAGACAGGAAACACCATCAATGATGTAAATTTCGTCATTTGAACCCCTAATTTCTTAGTTTTAACCTCTAGATATAGCTGTACATAAAGGAAAATTTATGTCTTGGCCTTTCCATCTGAGTGAGCCAATAACTTCCCTTTTTCCTTGAAATAGGGATTCAGGACCTCCAAAATATTAGAAACTTCCACAACCGGAGCATTTATTAGCGATAGAATGAACTCACTTCAGAAAGAAACAAAGTTTATTTGATGAATATAAATAAGGCGATCAGCACAAAGTACTTCTCATACACGTGATAACAAATTTATGAACTGTACATACCTTGTACATTGTTCTACTAGACACGAGGTTACAATGACTGGCTAATACATGCCCACTGGTAGTTTCGAGGGTTCCTTAGTTTTATTTATATTTTTCATATCGATGTCCATAATCACATGGTCAATATCACAACCCACATGCCACTCACTTGAAGAAATATTACAAGAAGCACTATCAAACGAGGGTCTTGGGGAATTAGGTACACTGACCCTCGGCAGCATTCAATCGCCACTCTACACAAAAACATTGCAGATAGAGCTTATGTCAACACATTTGAGGTCTCGTCATAAACACTGTTTAAAAAGTAAATTGAAACCCACTTTCAAATGAAAGTTGACACGCTGTTAACGTGCATACTGGATACACAAAAATCATTAAATACAAAATTGAGACTGTACATCGAAATCAAATGGGGTATAAAGTACAAGCCTGCTTTTGCACAAAGTTATACCAACTTCTCCTAGATGTTAGCCCAAACTTTTATTTCCCCCAACTACATTATGATTAGAAGGAAACCTGCTAAAGTTTGCAAAAAGGAAGCATCTTCCCAACATCACAGTGTTTTTTGTAAACCCAGAGACTATTTGTAATATGTGAAAAGGGATATTTTTTGGTAACCCCCAAACATCAGAGAATATTACACAAAATGGGAAAAGATGCTATGTCAGATAGAATTTAACTTTTAAGAAACGAAAATATGTGCCCATAAAGATAAGATCAATAATACTTTTAAGCAACAAAAATGGGGCAAAAAAATGATTCCCCCAAAAATAGCTGTGACAAAATTGGCACATATGTAGAAATAGCTAACTATATGTGATTGGTTGTTTCTCTGTCTCAAGGACCCTATTACCCTACTGGATTTCCTACTACCTACTTCAAGTATTCAGTTGCAGAGTTCAGGTCAGGACCTGCTTGCAGGAGGCAGTGAGGACCACCTGTTTGAGGACATTTGTCCAAACTGTTCCCGGGGATGCATTTGTGGCCTGGGTTTTCAGTGCAACATTGTGTCAAAATGTGCTAAATGAGCTTGCAAACAACTCTGCTCACTTCATCAACCAAGACCCAGATCCTTCTGATAAAGGACAAACTTTTAAAACATGAATGTATTTGGATTGTTTATGCAACATAGAAGCTTTACATAGTTTGCTATACTTATGACAAGAACAAAGCCAGAAGCAAGAAACCTGCTTGAATATATTTACTCCTGATGCACTAAGAATGAACAGTGCAACTCAAAGACAGTTTCATCTTCTTGGACAAACAAGGTGTCTGTCTTTTAAATATCTCTATGGCTCACGAGAGAGGTCCAGAGTTAATTGCACCAACATTTTATAAGGTAATAACAACTAAATTCAATGCAAGACTTCAGGAACATCTGTTTAGAATCCTTTCCACAGCAGCAAAGAAAGACAACTATATTTATTAAGGCCACTCATGCTTAAATTCACGGTTTGTCCTTTAAAAATGCAGGTTTTCATCTCCCACTTGCATACACGTGGAAGGATTTCTTCCATTGACAAGAAAATGGATCAATACAAGAGTTGCACATGTTTGCCAGACTCAGTCATGAGTTTTATGAATTTATAACAACTTTAAATTTTTTTAATATTCAGAGGAAGCAGTAGGAGTTTAATTCTCCTTAGTACCATGTCACTGTATGTAAAAGACCTCAAAATGTGGTCTCTTTCCCTGGCATGTGCTTTAAATAATGACTGTATCCACATACATGTTGTGTAGAGCTATATACAGATACACAGTTTTTGTGATTGTTCCTCATTCATCAATGTTTTCATGTTTGATGCTGAAAATGCTTTGGAATCCATGTTGCAGACATATTTTTTTTAAAAAAATGAGAAATGACCCTTCATTTACAGAAGATCTAAGCTTATACTGTGTGCACAGCATTTGGATCTTGAAACGTGAATGAGTGCCAGCTTCTTCATGGAGACCTGCACGTACGGGAATGGTAAGAGTCTGAGGCTCGGTCACGTCCCAGCTGTGGGGGTGAATGGAACACAATAGCCATATGCAGGTGTCTCAGACTTTTGCCACTCTCCAGTACATGACCAGGGTAGATACGATTATGAATGACCAATTTAGATGTGCCATGCATTGTCAGAGACATACACCATGTTCTCATAAGGCGATTTCTTGGCAAGTATTAGTGGTTTAAAAAATTGATTTCATTTCCAACCTGGCCCAGAGGTAACTACTGGTTACACCATCAAAATGCAGTTCTTTGAACAGCGGATTAAAGAAACAGAGGAGGGTAAAGGCTCACAATTTTTGGTGTTTTAGTTTCTTTGTCAAACGCTCCATGCATCGTGGCATACACACACTGCCAACACCACTCACTCACAGCAAATTTACACTTTTTGATAATCTAATGCATTAGGAATAACCACTTAGGCTGAACCAGCAGAATACTGGAGATGAGGCTAGTTGTCCAACAGAAGCTGAAGCCATCTTCAAAAATCTCATGGAGTTCAAACTTTATCCAATGATGTTTAAGTAACATAAATAATATATTATCCAGTAATGACATTCAGAAAAGGGGATCGCATTTTAAATGCCCCAATCCCCCCCAAAACACAGAGGATCTGTCAGTTTTCTCCTCTTCTGCATTCTTCCCTTCCAACATATCCGAATCCATGAGAAAGGATGTGAAGTGATGAAGGAAGTATCAAGCAGAACAGAATCATGCTCAGTAATGAAAGTGAAAACTCCCCTTGAGTTCTGATGAGCCTCTCCAGGTGGTGGTGGATGGTGATGTGGGCTGCACTGCAATAGATTATCAGGATATTGCTGCAGAGCTGTCTTTTCCCTTTTTTCAGTCCTTCTGATAGCTGCAATAAGAAAGTGCATCATTTAGCTGGGAAAGAAACTGGCAACAACATCTGAGATAATCCTAGCTGGGAGTTCCCTGCTCCAGACCCCTGCACAGTCCTCTCCACCACTCTTGTTGACTGGGGCTGGGTGGGAGTAGGGAGCGGCCAATAGGAAGAAGCACAGAGGTAGGGCAAGGTGAACTGGAAGTTAAATTATGTCCTACAAGAGGCTTCTTTCAAAATATGTCATGTGTATGTCTCTTGATACACAAAAAGAAATAGAAGGGAAATATGCCAAAATGCTCCAGTGATTATTTCTACACAATCAGATTATGTACCACTTTTTTTCTCCACACTTTTCTACAATGACTTTTTTTTTAGTTGGAGTCTCACTCTATTGCCCAGGCTGGAGTGCAGTGGCACAATCATAGCTCACCATAGCCTCAACCTCCTGGGCTCAGGTGACCTTCTGCCTCAGCCTCACAAGTAGCTGAGACTACAGGTGCATGCCATCCCGTCCAGGTAATTTTTTTGGGGGGAAGGGGTAGAGAACATAGATTTCACTATGTTCACTAGGCTGGTTTCAAACTTCTGGACTCAAGCAATCTTCTTGCCTTGGCCTCCCAAAGTGCTGGAATTATAGGCATGAACCAGTGCACCTGGCCAACTATGGTTTTAAAATTGTTTGTTAACATGACTACATAGAGATTAGAGAATTCAAGATGGTCAAGACATCAGAAAACCAAACATTTCCTTAAAAATCATCTGAAAGCAATAATTTAAAAGAATATTGCATCTAGCAAATCCACTCCTGAGCATATTCCCAAAAGAACTGAAAACAGGGAATCAAACAAATGTGTATACACAAATATTCAAAGCATCATTATTCACAATAGCCAAAGCTGTCTGTCAATAGATAAACAAAATATAGTATATACATACAATGGAGTATGATTCAGTCATAAAAGTAAAGTTCTGATGCATGCTACAACATGGATAAACCTTGCAGATGACATGCTAAGCAAAATAAATCAGACAAGACAAATACTGTTAAGTGTTCACTTATATCAGACATCTAGAACAGATAAATTCATAGATGCAGATAATAGATCAGAAGTGACCAGGGTCTGAGGAGAGGGGAGAATGGGGAGTTATTTGTCAGTGGATACAAAGTTTCTGTTTGGGGTAATGACAAAGTTCTAGAAATGAGTAGTGGTAATGGCTTTACAACCCTGTGAAGGTACTTAATGACACTGAAATGTATTCTTACAAGTAAAAATGGCACGTTTTATATGTATTTTATTATAATAAAAATTTTTTTAAAGAATATTGGCATCCTTAAATAGAGCAGATTGAAACAAAGTTGGCTTTCATCCTTACATCCAATTGGCTTGTGCCCAGTCTTAACCCCAAACATAAATACAACAGTCATCCATTTGCATATTTCAAGCTTCGAGGAACAGGTATCTAGAAGTGCCCCAAGTTCTCTCACTGTCCTAGTAAGGAGCCGTGGGTGTAGATACTACTGCAGCTTAGCAAGAAACAGTGCAATGGGTGAGAAGAAGGGACTATCCCACACTGCTGCTCCAAATGGTGATTTTCTTGTTTGCTCATCCTCAGCTGTGTGTGCCTGTGCTGTTATCATTCACATATGGCCTTTGAGTGCTTCAGGGTTTCTAGACACAACAGTGCAGCTATCTGGGGAACATGGCAGGGAGAGGAAAGATCAAACATGCACGCACACATAAGACACTTTTTATATCTAGCCTGAGCTGTCTGATTTGGTGGTTGATACACAGCATTTCTTGAGCCACAGTGACTAACAAGAACGCCAAAGATCTCAGCGTCTGCACAGGTAGACAGCTATTCCAAGCCATCGTTAAGTAGTGCAAATGAAATATGTGGCTTGGATGAACTCTGCTAATTCATACTCTGAGGAGTTTGGTGTAACCCTTCTGGTTAAGAAACTTGAATTGGGGCAGAAAAATGACTTTTGCAGAGCCAGAAAGTTAGGGAGTTCCTAGAGCAGATCATATTACTCATTCTGGCACATAAAATCTCTGCAAACTTTGTACAAAAATTGTAAGTCAGAGCACGCTTTCTGTTTCATAAACTGTGCATAGCTCTAATTCTTTTGCGCATTAAGTATGTCTTAATCATCCTTTTAAAGGGCTGACCAATATATTAGAAAGCCACATGATTAAAAGGTAAAGAGAAATCCAAGCAGTATTAAAACGCACTGGCCATATTTTTACAGATGGGGAAACGGGTGAAAAATAATTACAGTGAATGTCCGATGTCCTTGATGTTTTTCCAAGATAAAGTAGCAAAGAACAATCATTTATTCAGTTGGGAGAAAAATTTCTAGCTGGGTAGCAGGTCACAAGGCTGAATACAATGCCTTATGATTACAGTGCACTGCTTTGAGGTAAGGTTTAGGCTGTAGATAAGAGAATTCTCAAAAAGTGTAGCCCCTTCTTCAGTTAAGCAATCCATTCACCTGGAAGCCTAAATGGGTTTGAGGGAAAGAAACAAACAATAAATAAACAAAAAAACAAGGAAGCTTCAAGTGACACTGCCAGCAGTTCGACATGCAGATGATCCTGTTGAAGTACAGGCAAGCATATGCTTTAAAAAAATAAAAAAGAAATCCTGGATTCCAACAATGAGGCAATCTGGGTGCCACCCACTGTGAGATGGTCCCTAGCCAGCTTGCCTCACCGGGATGTTCACAGCAACCCTGACTTCTCCAGCATTCCCTCTTATGGCACCGGACTCTGAGCTCCCGCCAGAGTGGCTGGCAGGGCTATTTCAATGGTGACATCCACTCCATCATGCATTTCTGTTTACAGTTTACAACCCCTGTTTACAACCCTGTTTACAATCCCATCCCCCTCAGGATGCAGGACTGATGGATTCCTGGCCATGCTGGTGAGGCCCCATCTGGCCTCTCTCTCTCCAGTCCTGTGCTTAGCTCAGACAATCTGCTCCTGATGTTCTACCTACGTGGAACTTGCACCGAATCCTAAAACTTTCTTTTCTCCTCATCTCACAAACATATCTTTCAGTCTGCCATGCATTTACACCAACTCTTGATCTGATCCATCCCTATTTACTCTTCAGTCTCAGCTTAGATGTTTCCAGGAAGCCTTTCCTGACGACCCTCTTGGGTGTGACATGGAGCAGGATGTCACACACACACTGCAGGATTGCCTTCTGGTGAACTGTCTAGACCTATACAACCAATATGGTAGCCACTGGCCACATGTGAGCACTTGAAATGTGGCTAGTCCAAATTGAGATGTGCTATAAGCATTAAATACATATCAGATTTTGAAAATGTAATATGAAGCATGTAAACGATCTCAATAACAATTTTTATATTGTCTTCATGTTAAAATGATATTTTGGATATACCGAATCAAATAAAATCTAGTGCCATTAATTTCACCTGTTTCTTATTACTTTATACATGTGGCTACTAGTAGACTCAAAATTACAGTTGTGGCTTGCATTATATTTCTATTGGACAGCCATGGTCTAGATATAAGCTCTATGGGGACAGGGGCAGGCTAGTCTTGCTCACTTAGCGTTCCTTGTGCCTTTTACAGTTCTTGAGACAGGATGATTCACTCATGAACCCCACAAATTTTACAGAGTACCTAGAGTAGGCAGAATCCTAAAATCTGCATCCCTTTCTCCAAGATTCCCAACCCTAATCCCTGGCACTGGGACCGAAAACATCTCAGACCACGATTATGTTACTTTACAGATGCAGTTAAGGCCACTAATCTTAATCTTAATGGAGATAATCTGAGTATAGTTAATTTAATGACAGGAGCCCTTTAATAGGAGAAATGTTTCTTCTACTGTAGCAGAAGAGAAAGTTAGGGAAATCTGAAACCTTACAGAGATTCTCTGTGCTGAGACGGAGGGAGCCACAGGGCAAAGACCTGAGAGCTTCCTTTAAGATGTGAGAGTGGGTCTCAGGTGACAGCCAGCAAGGAAACAGGGACCTCAGTCCGACAACCACAAGGAACTGAATTGTGCCAACAACGTGAATGAGTCTAGAGGTGAATGCTTCCCCAGAGCCTTCAAACTAAAGTCCAGCAAAGCCCATCTTGACTTTGGCTTTATGAGATCCTGAGCAGAGAACCCAGCTGAGACCATCTGGACTTCTGACCTACGTACAGAATTTTGAGAAAATAAATGGATGTTGTTTTCTGTCACTAAAGTTGTATAATTTGTTAGGTAGAAATAGAAAGTTAATACAGCATCTCTCTGTCTGGTTATGTGCTTGGTGCTAGGGATATAATGATGAGAAGTGCAGACAAGATCCATGCCCTCATGGAGCCTGCATTCCTGGGGGAAAGACAGACAACAAACAGATACACAAATCAATCAATAAATGAGATTTTTAAAATGTGTGCCATGAAAAAAATGAACCAGGAACTGGGATATAGAGATGCTTAAGATTTGCTGACTGATGACAATTATGATGTAGCTCTCTGTTTTTTTAAGTGGGGAAAGATGTCTACAACTTTTCAGTGAAAAAAACTGATTACCATTTGCTATGTAGTTCAGTGTCATTTTTGCATCAACACACACATAAAGGTAAATATTTGCAAGTGTATATATCAGAATATTATTAATATTGATCTCTGGGTGGTGTTTTTAAACTGTTTCTCCTTTAGAATTATTTTTTGGCACTTTTTGGATTTTTTAAACGAAAGAATGTGTAACTAGTAGCATACTAAAATAAAAAGTTATTTACTTTGTGGGGAAAAAAATCAGTGTTGGGTGGGATCACTGCTCTTGACTTGGTTCAGGGCCGGGGTGGGTGACTGAGTGCAGCAGTGAGATTCTGCCCCAGAACAAGCTCCCGGGGACAGCAGGCTGTAGACGTGTGGTGTCTCACAAATATTCCTTCAGACTGTTTTTCTTTGGAATAAAGACACCTGCCCGATTACAGCTTTCTTCTCCTGCCATTTCAGTAGTGATTTGCAGAAACAGACTGG